CATTCTTTTTTTTTTTTTTTTTTACAATCATAGTATCCTATTCTATCAATGTACCACAATTTATTTAGCTAGCCCCCTAGTGGTGGTCATTTTGGCTAGTTCTAATTTTTATTACAAAAAAAGAATGCTGCGACAAACAGCCTTATATATATATTCTTTCACATATGGGTGAGAATACCTACAGGGTAAATTCCTAGGAATAAAATTACTGGATCAAAGTATATGAGCATTTTCAAGCTCTGTAGATATTGCCAAAATATCCTACACAAAGATATTCTAAATCTATACTCCCATCAGTACTGAAAACTTTCAGAAAATACTAATTAGAATTTTGCATGCCCTTTAACCTAATGTTTTACTTCTATGAATTTATGCTACAAAATGCTAAAGAAAGGATGGGTCAAAGATATAGCTAAAAGTTGGTAACCAGACTTCCAAAAAATAGATTAGGAATGTGCAGTGCCATAGAATACAAGGTTGTCTCAATGTGGAATAATTGTTCATTAAAGTGAAAAAGTGTTTGTACTACATAATCAAATGAAAAAAAGCTGACTTTAATAACCAGTATATAACATAAACCTATTCATGTTTTTTAAAGTGAGGGTGTTTATACATGAAGTTTGATATTTTTATACACATAGCAAAAGATGTGGCAGTACATACACCAAAATGTTAACAGTTATTATTTCTGGGTATTTAAATTTATAATTTTAGTTTTAACTCGTGTTTATATTCTAACTTTTCTATAATTAAAATGTACTACTCAAAAACTTTAGAAGTTATTAAAAATGCCAGATGTCTATAATTTAAAAAAGGATTTTGTTCAAACAAAAATCTAGTCAATGTGTTATTTGGAATATAATGGGGGAAAAATAAACTGTCTAAATTTTACACTTGTCAACCAACAATTCTAGAGTTACTAAATCTTAGCTTTGGACAGATTTTGAAAGGAGATATAAGAACTGTGAAGTAATGAGAGATTAAAAGATAAAATTGGTGATTTCTCCTGCTCCTCAAAACCAGGACTTGCCGATGTTCTGATGCATAAAAGGTATCTTGGCTCAAAAACTCAGTCTCTGGTGAGAATGCAATTGTTGCTCTCAGGAAGCAGAAGCTTCATGAGATAGTACTGACATAATGGAACAATGTACTTGGGAATCAGAAAAAATGAGCCTGAGTCCTAATTCTGCCACTTACTTGGCCCCTCTCTTGAGCATCTGGAACCTGTTTTCTCATGTGTCAAAGTAAAATAACAAGGCCTCTTTCATACGGCTGAGATAGTATGAATGGACCTTGACTCACTATTAGGGCACTCAGTTCTACCAATTATTTTCATCTTACTTTGAATCAGTTCATCAGGCATTTTACAAATTATTAAATATATTTTAACACAGCCAAGAATAGAGAATAATGTGATCAATGTTCCACTTATCAAATCTCAGCATTCTGTCATATTTGCTTTAGATTCTGTTGGAGGAGGGAATAAACCCCTCTATACCTCCCCCCCCCCGCCTTTCCCCTTTATGAGAGAAAAACTACCATCCTGAATTTGGTGTTTGTCATTCCTACTCATGTTCTTCTATTTATGACAACATACAAAGCCAATATATTGTACGGTTTTGGATATTCAAGTTTTATAGAAATATTGTCTCATTTGGCAACTTGCTTTTTCTACTCATCTGTTTTCAAGTTTGATCCATGTTGATATGTTTAGCAGTAGTCCATTCATTTTAACTGTTCTGTGGTATTATGTTTAGGTCATATGCCACACTTATTTATCCATTCTCCAAAGGACACTTAAAGTGGTGTATGTTGCCAATGGGAATGCAAGATGGGACAGTCATGCAAGTCAGCAATCTCACTTCTAGGCATCCACTCAAGAGGCCTGAAAACATTATGTCCACACAAAAAGTCATGTGAATATTTATACTGCCTTTACTCATAATTATTAAATGTCTTGTCATAGAAAAGTTACATATTTTATTTCTTTATATTTTTATTTTTGAGTCAGATTCCCACTCTGTTGTCCAGGCTGGAATGCAGTGGCACGATCACAGCTCATCATGGCCTTGACCAATACTTCTGCCTCAGTCTCCCAAGTAACTGAGACTACTACAGGTACATACCACCACACCCAACTAATTTTTTGTTTTTGTAAAGACAAGATCTCGTTATGTTGTCCATGCTGGTCTCGAAGTCCTAGATTCAGCAATCCTTCTGTCTCATCCTCCCGAAGTGCTGGGATTATAGGCATAAGCCACCCTGCCCAGCAGGTTCTACATTGTAATACAGTTAAACTTAGTTTATGTTTTTATTTGAGAGCAAGTTTGTATAGGGGTGAAAGAGAGGAACTCCTGAAAGTGGTTACCACTTGGTAGGAAAGGTGCCCCCAGAAGACGTTTCCAGAAAAATCTGAGTGCATTCATAACTATCTTGTTAAAGCTTAGCTATCATATTACATATAGGACCAATCCTGGAGAAAATGACTACATCAAAGAAATGGTTAATTCTAAAAACCACTGATGGGCTGCCCATGCACCAAGAGAAACTTCAGCAATTTTTTCTCTTCCATCAAGGGCCAAAAAAGGTCTTTTGTATATATAATACATATATGTCTTGGAATAGGGCAGAAGGGCAACTCGTGCAGGGTTTGCAGATAAAATACAGAATTGCCCAGTTAAATTTGAATTTCAATAAATAATTTTTGCATGAGACATACTCATACTAAAAATTTGTCTGAAATGCAAATTTAACTGGGTATCCTGTATTTTTATTTTCTCACTCTGGTAATCCTAAACTGGTGAGACTCTTGAGTCAGATTATCTTGTTGAATGTAATTTAGCCTTGAGAAGAAACCCAATTACTTGTACAGAGTAATCATGTATTAAATTTACATGTAAGTTTCTCAAACTTTTTACAATGGAACTTTTCAACATGAATTCTGCATGACACAGATTACAAAATGAATACAGTTTCATAATTATGTTAACTACAAATACCATAATTATAAACACCACCCTTCTTATTCTATTTAAAGAGATACATAATGGATATGTATATATAAAAAAGTTTTTTGTGCTTGTCAACATGGAAAACATAATTTGAATTTGTAATAAAATTTAAAGGCCCTCCCAAAATTTCTATTCTGTGACTAAGCACGTACTTACTAGAAATTCCTCATTAGTGCATACTCCATTCTAAGTCATTCAACCTTCACTAACAATGAATGCCATCACTTATTGTACTCTTTTTGTAATGGGATAAAAATCCACGTGTAACCACATGACAGTAATGAGAGAAGGAAGAACAAACAGGGGAGAAGGAAAAGAACTCATCAATTTAAGAATATTTTAAGTTGAAGATTAGAAATTTAAGCAAGTCTACTTTAACACTTTTCATATGATAGTCTAACTCTAACATCATCACTTTGTGAAAAGAACCCTGAAGATCTCTTTTGAATATCTGGCTCTACACATAAGGATCACTGATAGAAAATGGAAACAATAGCAATTCAAAGTATTTTTTTTCAATGTAATGAAACTGTTTTTGACAACTTTACTGTTAGACACTGGGCCAGGCATTTTTTGGGCTACACTTTGACTAGAAGCACTTAAGAGCCTAATCGTCTAGTACGGTGGAAACATACATGCACAGGAAACACAATGCAAGGTAAACTGTGGAGTAAAACAACCCAGTCTGAAAAGCTATCAGAGCATAAAAAGAGCAAGAGTCTGTGGTAGTGAGAAGTCATCAAAAACTGTATAGAAAAGACAGCCTGGACGAGCAGAGATATCAGTGGTGGGGAAGAGGAGCAGGAGGTGGAGATAGGCAGCTCAGGTCTGTGCAATGCCAGAGTGGCCCTGATGACCTGGCTTCTGCCCCAGGTCTCCTCTTGCCCAGCTCATTTCTACCAATCTTGCCTCCTGTGTGCTTGGAACACTACAATCTCCATCTCTCTCCTCTCATTTCCCTAGTCAATTCATAATCTTCTTGGGGGCTCAGTTTCATGATCACTTTCTCTGCAGAGCCTTCCCAGACCAACCATGACTTCAAACAGGTTGGGCTCTGTATCATTAGCTCATGGCACACCATAACTTCATACGCTTATTTCACCTGGAGTTTCTTATGTGAGTTAACTGTTTAACAACTACCTCATTGATGATACCTTGATTATACATTCCATGATGGGAAGGACCTTTTTTATGTCTTGTTCACTGTTGTGACTCCTGGGCCATAGCATGTCTGGCACATGGAAGACACTCAATAAATTGTTGACAAATGAGTTCTGATAATAGGTTTTATGTGTGGTTGAATATAGAGCTTTGAATGCTTTCACAATTTTGATAGCTATGCTAAATTACAGGGTTTATAGAAAGTTACATGTGCAAATTAATAGGATAATCCATATAGATTTTCATCACTTAAAGCAATTTCATAAAAGACATGGCATTTAGAATAGTCTTTTTTAAATGTGCTATGTACAACCATCTTTCTTAGTGAAACGCAGGAAAACCAGAAATGTAATACAAAACAACAAACAATAAAAGCACACAATGGAATACTAAAACAGAACGCTCCATAATCTTTAAATAACTTGATTTCATATATGGCATCTTCCATTATATTAAATAGTGTCTTTATACTTTTACTTTCTTAGTCACTTTAGTACCTGAAGTTTAGCTGAACTCAACATATGCCTAATATTCGAAATGTCATACCTAGTCAATATTCACTTAATTTCATAATCCTTTCCGGCCTCCAAATAAAAGGATTTTAACAATGTCATTAGATGTACCTATTTAATGAATACACAATTTTGTTCTCTTGTCATAACATCCCAATATTTCATTACCAAATCTGTATCAATTAGAAGTGATAATACTCAAGTTGATAACTTAGTTATCTCAGGTTTATTAAATTGCTATGGAAAGATATCATTTAAATATCTAATGAATAAATCTAAGGCTGCCTCCTAAGTCTAACTGTATTTGGATGACACATTTTTTTCATTTTTATAATTAAGTGCTAGAAATATTTTATCGTAAAGACTGAAGAACATGCTCAAATGCTTTGTGAAATCTGATTTTCCATCTGTAAGTTACTGGCGCTTAGGAAGAAAAGCGATCACTAAAAAGAAAACTAAAAATATAAAGCCTATGTTTAAAACATGGCCTTTATTAATACTGCCCGCTGAGCTTCATTTTTATTTTACATTGAAATACTTCTGCTTTGCAAATAAAAGACAGAAAAGTGCATTTTACAAGAGTACTTTTTTGTTTTTAATTCTCTGAGAAAATGAAAGGAATCTGAATCACAAGTTCACAATATGGTAAAATGAAATTAAGAAACAATGATTTCAGTAATGCTATGCCATCACTAGTGTTTAGCTCTGACTTTGTTCTTGTAAATCAGATCCTGATATACAGTCTAGAGCATCTAGATTATTACTCTACAGCATATTAAACACAGAAAAGGAGGTTTAAAAAAAACCCCTTTCAATGTACAAACATGAATTTAAAAATTGCTTTTAAAAAATCACCTTTTTACATAATGTATATGCAAAACTGCTTTAAATACATGATTTTGGAAGCATTATTTACAAAATGTATCAGTCTGTGGAACAATTCACAGACAAAGCATACATAGTTGCTTTATTTAGTTGTTGCATCTCAACTTTGGGAGATATAAATTTATTCGGCAGTATAGCAAACATAAAAACTGTGACAAAGTATCTTAAGGGCAACCAAAAAATTTGATCTTCAAAACAGTTAAAATACTAGGACTGCCAAAGTTTCTAAACAAGGACATACTTTAATGATCCAGATGCCCATTTATCATTCTATAACTGTTCGAAGGACTGAGATAGACTCCCTGCAACACAGGCAAGGCTGCTGGATGCAACCTCCTGTAAAAGGGACAGCTGAGACCTATTGTCATCCAAAGAGTGAATTAACCTAGAATTTTCTTTTTTTCAATTTTATTAATATTTTAAAAAATACATAAAAATACAACATCCAATGTCTGAATAAATATATTTAACAAGTTGCAAGATAATACCTTATTTTACACAAAATTTTCAGCTTTAGAAATCTTGTTAAATAACTTCATTGTTGTTATATATTTCATTTTTGTCTTTTTGTAACAAAATAAAAACTCTGAAATTACATAGAAAAAAGACAAAATATTTTTGTCAAGGGATAAGATAGTCCACTGAAAACTTATTCACAATTCCACTGTAAACATTAATAAACATTAAAATATTTGCATAATTGTGTGCTCAAAAATCCTATAAAAAGTGGAAGACTTATTACAACTGTAGTTTTCAGTCAACTACACTTCCTTTCACAACTTATTTTGTCCCATTTACACCTTTTAAACCTGGGCACACTGCTGAACATATACTTTGGCAGTTCTAAATAGCAAGTGCTTCCACAAAAATAAAAAAAATAAAAATAAAAAAAAATTAAAAAAAACCACAACATAAACCCCCTACTCACCAAGTGTTCAAATACTTCTTAGTGAAAGTGCAGCAGTAACTATTCAGCTGGATAATATTTTGATGTTTATCATGTGCACTTGCTTGTCTATGATTTCTATAACACCTGAAAGCTTTATTATACAAATTCAAATTTGCTAAGTGCCCTTTTTTCTATATCACAAAAAATGGGAAAAAAAGTAAAGAGAAAAAAAATTATGACAAATATGGCAGGCTGCCTAACCTTCACTTATTAATCAGCTTATTTTTCTGCAATAAGAAAAAAGAAGAGAGAAGGGAATAGATACAATTCAGCCTGGAAAAGTATACAGGAAATACTTAGCAATGTCAAACCAGTTGAGTGCTTTCTGTGGTTGTATTTCAGGGTTAGGAAATTTATGTCCATGGCAGCAAACTGCTGGGAAGGTCGAGAAAATGTTTATCACCTGCATTCTACAGCAAGCACATTTTGTGGGGGGGATGATGACGAGGGACTCATTCCAGTGTCTGAGGAAGCAGATGACATGGAGGCTCCTGCATGAGACACTGTGGAATTAAAACAACTATGTTAGCCTCAGAAATAATTACACAAAGATACCTAACCAGTGGTAAATTAGAAATAAAATTCTTAACATTTCACTTCAATCATAGGCCTCTTAAATGTTACATGAAGGAATAACAAATTGTCAGCAAACATTTTGTCTGGCTTATTTCAGTGGAATTAGTTTTTGGTCAGTTAAGTAACTCAACAGTTCAAATAAGACATCATAAAATGTAAAGATTAGAGAGAGATAAATTCATAAAACCCTACTGGGGAAATTCCAGGAAGGAACCCAGCTTGTCCCAAATCAAAAACAAGGCCAACCTGAGATAAATTCTCACCATAGGGAATTTCTGCCTTAACTCTGGGTCATAGAACTGTAAGATAATTTGCTTACCCCAGGAAAGTTCCTGTAACTGCCAGGTATCAGAGTTATGGAGATCAGGATGGAAGTAACAGCGTGTGACCAAAAAAAAAAAAAAGTCCTCAAATGGCTTTAATGGCTTTAACAAAGTCTCTTCAGGAGGATATAATATGAAATAAGGACCACTAGTCTATGTGTTAGGTGCTTTGCCACTTTTTCCTTTTGGCTTTTATCTTCTCTTTCCATGTTCCTATTTAAAGTTTTATTTTAAGTCATTCAAGTATCATTACAACAAATTCTTATATGTATGTTAAAAATCACTCGATATTTCAATTTAACAATTCACTACAAGAAATTATGAAAGGCCATTGCCTTGCCAGACTCTGGTGTGGCCATGTGCTTTTTGAACTATGGCTGTTACAATGCTTCCTGGCTTTGGTCCCCCTCACCTTGGGGAGGTGAATTCTCTCTCTCATTTACTTTTTAAAAAATGATATTTTCTAATTTTAAAAAATTAAGAAAATAAAAAAGGGAAGGAGACTGTAATAAAAATTACTTTTAGCTGTCTAAAACTCTTATTACATTCAGAAAACTGACTCCAATACAGTGGAGAGTCCTCTAAAGAAATTTTAGCCTGTTAATTTGTAATTTGTTATTCCTTTCTTTTCACATTCAAAAGTTCGATAAAGACTTCTTGCTATTTAGTTCTTTTTGTTTTGTTTGAGTCTGAGTCTCACTCTGTCGCCCAGTCTGGAGTGCAGTGGCATGCTCATGGTCACTGAGGCCTCAACCTGCTGGGCTCAGGTGACCCTTCCGCCTCAGCCTTACAAATAGCTGGAACTACAGGCACGTGCCACCACACCCAGCTATTTTTCTTAATTTATTGTAGAGATGAGATCTCGCCAAGTTGCCCAGGCTGGTCTCAAACCCATGGACTCAGGTAGTCTTCTCATTTCAGCCTCCCAAAGTGCTATAATATTTAATAAACATTAAAATATTTGCATAATTGTGTGCTCAAAATTATTATAGGCATGAGCCACTGCACCCAGCTGCTATTTCGTTTTTAAAAGAAAAGGACAAACATGGAAAGCCTGATCTCTTTCCATTTGCTCCATTCTATTTCCAGAAATTAAAAACGGCTGGACTTGGAACGCAGTGATTCAAGACCCCATACAACACAGGTTATTCTATCAGTAACTCAGCCTTTGAGTTTCTGGTAGAGACAGAAAACTTCTCTCAACATGGTGAAGTCTGTGAGGCAATTTACTTTTTATCTATTTTTTTTATGAGACATCCCTCCTGGAGCCCTCACCTGTCCCACCCTAGGCCTGAAATAGCTGCTTTCCAAGCCTGCTCTGCAATGGTGTTCTTATAGCTTCATCCCTGCCACCTTGAGGTTTTCCTTTACTGTCCTCTTATGTGGGATTCCTCGTCTGCTGGATCTCATATTTTCTTAGCTTGGCTTTGAATTTCTAGTACTAGCACACTAAGAAGAAATCTGACATAAGATACTTGATGTTGTTCTGAGACCCTCTTCTTTTGTATGTACCTTTATGTGGGAAACTTTCAGAATCTACTCTTTTTCCACAGATTTTATTATGTCCTTTGATGACTGTTTCCTCTCCTTATTTATAGAAGGCACAGTGAGTCCTTTCAATCTAATTCATCTCCTCCAGTTCTGGAATTTTTTTTTTTTTTTTTTGAGTTGGAATCTCACTCTAGGCTCAAGCAATTTTCCCACCTCACCCTTTCAAAGTGCTGGGATTACAGGTGTGAGCCACTGCAGCCTCAATCTGCTGGGCTCCGGAGATCTTCCACCTCAGCCTTCCGAGTAGCCGGAATTACAGGCATGCGCTACCACACCCGGCTGATTTTTTGATTTATTGTAGAGATGAGGTCTTGCCAAGTTGCCCAGGCAGGTCTCGAACCCGCGGGCTCAGGCAATCCACTCACTTCAGCCTCCCAAAGCGTGGGATTACAGACTGAGCCACCAAGCCCGGCTCAGTTCTGGAATTTTAACAATATTTCTTTGATGACAGTTTCCTCCTATGTTTACTCAGTGCTCTCTTCCTAGAAATACTATGATTCAGAAGTTGGATCTCCTTCCCAGATGCTATATTTCTCTTATTTCATCTCTTATTGTCTTTTTGATTGTCTACTGAGCTTTACTATCTATCACTTCTAATATTTTTTTTAAATTATAAAAAATTCCTTGCTATCATATTTTTAAGAGATCCTCCTTGTTCTCTGGGGAAAAAAAAAATCTTTTTTTCTTTTTAATTGGAGGTTTTCAATCTGTTGCCCATGCTGGAGTGCAGTGGCATGACCATAGCTCATCACAGTGAGCTCCTGGGCTCAAGTGATCCTCTTGCCTCAGATTCCTGAGTAGCTGAGACTACAGGTGGGCACCACCATGCCTGGCTAAACTATTATTTATAGTTTTGTGCTTTTTTCTTTTTTCAATATGGAATGTTGCCTGTTTTTGGTTTTTGTTTTGTTTTGTTTTTTTTAGTTTGGCTTCTGTTTTTTATCAGAGGCTTTCCTCAAGTATTTGGCCACGTGGCATCCATATTTAAGAGGACATTAAAAAAAGTTGACTGGAAGCTGTGTATGAGCAGTAGGGCTTTTTAATAAGGGCAATACATGAGGTGACTGGCAAAGACCTTGCTTTTTGGCTCAGTAACATCCAAATGTTAGGCCATTTTTCCTGGGTTGGTCATTTTTTTGAGACAGGATTTCACTATCACCTAGGCTGGAATACAGTGGCAAAATCATGGCTCACTGCAGTCTAGAACTCCTAGGCTCAAGTGATTCTCCTGCCACAGGAGACGAGTTTTTGCTATGTTGCCCAGGCTAGTCTTGAACTGCTGGGCTCAAGCAATTTTCCCACCTCACCCTTTCAAAGTGCTGGGATTACAGGTATGAGCCACTGTGCCCAGCTGGGTTGGTCACTTTCTTTAGAAGAATCCTCCAATCTCCCAGGAAGGGGCATAAGCTTAGTTGCCAGCTTTCAGGAGGCCAAGAGGATTTGATAGTGAGTTGGAAGAGGAAGAGCAGTCTAACTAGTCAGTATGCAAACTTTCACTACATCCATTCTTTTTGATTTAGCATTAACCTTCACCTTCAGCCACAGCTGGTGTCCATAAGTCTACAAGCCTATATATCCTCCCATACCCCATTAAGTTAATCTCCTATTTTCGTCTGGAGCTCGGGAATAAGCTAGCCTTGCTTCACAAGATGGGAAGAGAGGATCCTATTTCTCCTTCCATTTTCAACCACTCCATTTTTCAGCATCATCCCATATCCACACTTTGAAAGCTTTTCTGGGGTTATGTGGTATGAATTGGCTTGCTTCTCGCTATTCTGTCCCACTGCAAGGACAAGTAAGCTTAGTTTTAACATCATCTCATCTGCTAGGATGGTGCAGTAGCCCATTTGTTGTTCAGATGATAAAAGAAATGCTGTTGAGATTTCTCATCTGCTATAGTCAATGGTCTCATCTCTTGTCCTTGTGGGTATAGATAGGGCTTTTAATTTCCTAAATTTGCTGTCATTTTTTAGTGGTGGAAATGGAACTCCTATACTTGTTAAGATAACTCTTAGGGCAAACGCTGTCCTGTGAGACGTTACTTATTTTTTTTTTTTGAGTTGGAGTCTCACTCCATCATCCAGGCTGGAGTACAGTAGCACGCTCTCGGCCACCCCAGTGTTGACTTGCTGGACTCCAGCAATCCTTCCACTTTAGCCCTCCAAGTAGCTGTAACTACAGGTGCACTCTACCACGCATGCCTAATTTTTTGATTTATTGTAGAGGCGAGGTCTCACCATGTTGCCCAGGCCAGTCACAAACCCGCGGGCTCAGGGAATCCTCTCGCCTCAGCCACTCAAATTGCTGGGATTACAGGCTTGAGCCACCATGCCTGGCTGATGTTAAGATCTTGAGATGAAGTCTGTATCTAATTTATCTCTGTAATTTCATCACCTGGCAGAACATCTGTACATGTTACATGCTCATTAAAGTTGCCAAGCTGTAGTATCTTATACTATAGTTGCTTAGAAAATGACTTACAATCCCAACAAGATAATCTCTTTGAGGATAAGCCTAATGCCTTACTCATTTTGATTAGCCCCTCAATAACAAATATAGTAGCTGCTAACAGGCAGCCAATAAATGTTTGTCAAGCAAAGAGAATTTCAGAGGGAGTGAGCACTACTTGAGAATCCATCACATTTAGTAAAATCAGGCACCTTGTAAAATAGTTCACACTCCCTCCCTTTCAAGTGTCTCTTTCTGATTCAGTTGTTGACCACTCATTTCAACAAGAGCAACAAAGAAGAAAACACTAAGAATTTTAAAACAGCAAGTAATGAATGTATAGTATATTCAAAGAGTAACCAACTTAAGTCTTCTAAAATGATAAAATATATATTTGGAAAATAGAGGGAGAAAAATTATAATAAATTACCTTCTCTGTCTTTCTTTTTTAATCTTTTTCTCCTCCTGTCTATGGTTGCAACTTCAGACTTCAAAGACATATAATATTTTCTGATTTCCTGTAGTTTTTCTTGGAGAAATGAGATTCTCTCTGTACTGTTCATATTATCTAATTCATCTAAAAGGGAAGAAAAGTTCATGTGGATTTTAAGAGAATTTTATGAGGAAAAAAATGGCAGTTCTATCAAAAGTCTAACTCATAAATCAACAAAGCTTTAGTTTGTTAAAAGCTACTATATTAAAATCAGGCTCTGTAAATAGGGAAGACATGAATTAAATTCATGATTAACAGTTATTTTTATATCTTACATTTTCTATTCTAGATACATATCACTTATGATCAGAAAAACATAAACATGAATGCAAGGCTACCTTGGTCTATAATTATAGTTATTTATCAGAAGGTTATTTGGTATTCATTTTTTTAACTTAGTTATTCATAATCATAAGTACTACAAAAAGCACTTCACTTTCATCAATTAATATAAATCATACTTTTTTTAAAAGAGGGTCTAGCTCTGTCACTCAGTCTAATGTACAATCATAGCTACGGCAGCCTCAAACTCCTGAGCTCAAGGGATCCTCCTGCCTCAGCCTCCCAAGTATCTGGGACTACAGGCATATACCCCCACACCCAGCTAATTTGTCTTTTTTGATATTTTTGTAGAGATGGGGTCTTGCTTTGTTGCCAGGTCTTAAGTCATCCTCCTGCTTCAGTCTACTGAAGTGCTGGGATTACAGGTGACAGTTATTGTACCTGGCCCATGTATTTCTCATTTCTTAACTGGAGGACTTCCTCTAGTCAATATTTATCAACTTAATGTTATAAAAAGACACAGATTTGTATTTAAGATAACAAATAGGTATGTTTTTTTTTTTGAGTTTGAGTCTCACTCTGTCACCTAGGCTGGAGTGCAGTGGCATGCTCACGGCCACCTCAGCCTCAACCTGCTGGGCTTAGGCGATCCTTCTGCCACAGCCTTCCAAGTAGCTGGAACTACAGACGCACGCCACCACGCCCGGCTAAATTTTGTGATTTATTGTAGAGAAGAGGTCTCACCAAGTTGCCCAGGCTGGTCTCGAACCCCTGGGCTCAGGCAATCCTCTCGCCTCGGCCTCCCAAAGTGCTGGGATTACAGGCTGAGCCACCGCGCCCGGCTTGCTATGATTAATAAGATAATATTTGGAATATCTAAATAAGTTAACCAATATTCCTTATTTTATTAACATTAATCCAAAGTGACATTTTAAGATATATTCCACTTTAGAATATTAAAATTTCTATAAGCTTCTTACTGAGTTGAAAGCTCCATTTATACGTCCTAGGGGATGAATTCGGATGTTTTTCTCTGTGTTTATCTTTCTCTCCATCTTTGATGTGAGGGGATATTCTTGCAGGAGATCGTGCAATTTTCTGTGGCTTCGATACACTAAGATGCTTTACTGGAGTACATTTACTTGAATTGTCTACAACAGGAAGATCTTCACTATCACTGCTTTGTCCTATAAAAAAAAAGAGTCAGAAATTATAAACACTAAAAGTCTTAAATATCAAAATACAACAGACCTAGCAATTATACTTCTTGGTATCCTACAGAAATAAGTGCACAAATGCACCAAGTTTATAACAGTTAAAAAAAATTTTTAAACAATCTAAACCACAAGTAGGGAAATAGTTAAAAATTATATGCTATTGAATACTTTGCTGAAGTTGTTAAAAACAATGAGCTAGAGTTCATAAGAACAAAAATGGCACAATATCCAATAATGTTAAATGAAATAACAAAGTTATAAAACAATACAGTACTGTTCTCAATTTTAGTTCCTTTTTTTAAAGCTCTATGCCCTACTTCCACCCTATTCACCCTCAAAAGTCAAACTTGTCTGCTTTCGAAAAGACAAAGTTGAGGGTTACACACTCAGTTTCCCAGTCCCTCTCATACCTGTTTCTGTTATTGTCACCTTTATTATTTTTTTTTAATCAGTATTTTTTATTATGATGTTGTGGGGTACAGTTAAGGGTTAGGTATACAAATGCGTTTCATTCAGGCACCCTGTTGATAAGAGGTGTTTCCCCATCCCCAGACAGATATTTGCTACCGTTAATCCCATCTCCCTTCCCCGCCATAGTTTCCCACTACTATCAGTCATTTTCTTATAGTATTACATTGGATGTTCAAGGTCCATTATATGAGTGAGAACATGTGATACTTGGATCTTTGTTTCTGTGAGAGGTCACTCAGTATTATAGACTCCAGTTCCATCCAGGTTGCTGCAAAATTCATGATTTTCTTCTTTTTTATGGCTGCATAGTATTCCATCGTGTATATGTACCACATTTTTTTAATCCAGTCCTCTTTTGATGGGCAGCATGGTTGCTTCCAGGTTCTTGCTATTGTGAACAATGCTGCGATAAACATACGTGTGCAGGTATCTTTTTTATAGGGTGATTTGAGTTCTTCAGGATATATTCCCAGTAAGGGGATTGCGGGGTCATATGGGAGGTTGATATTTAGAGCTTTTAGGAATCGCCCCTCTGCTTTCCACAGAGGTTGCACTAGTTTACACTCCCACCAACAGTGTAGAAGTGTTCCCTTTTCACCACACTATCTCTAGCAGCTGTTATTTTTTGAGCTGTTGATAATTGCCATTCTGGCTGGAGTTAGGTGGTATCTCAGTGTGGTTTTGATTTGCATCTCCCTGATGATTAGTGAGGTTGAACATGTCTTCATGTGTCTGTTGGCTGCTCAGATGTCTTCCTTTGTGAAGTGTCTGTTCATATCTTTTGCCCATTTTATAATGGGGTA